ATGGAAAAAAGGGCCTCAGTCATGAAGGGGTTAAGATTGTTCAATTGAGTTTCTGAATTTGAGCCACTTCAGTTAGATCCCAATACATCATATACTATGTCCCTCTTGGATGATTTCCCCTCACCTCTTGCGCTAGTGATTTCCCCTCTTTCTGTATATGTGACAATGGTCACCAGGATGAATAGAGGGGTCAACCTCCAATTCTGTTCAAAACTAAAAAAAAAAAAAAATGATTTTACATACACTTTACATCTATCAATTTCAATCTCTATGTTTGTGGGTCAATCGAATTTGTTGACGGTAGCTTTTCTTCAGTCTTGCAATCGCCTTTGATGATGTGAAAGTGGTTGAAATTGACTGAAAATTGCTGCTATTGCTTGGTCAGCATTAGTGTTATAATCTGGCATTTTCTGAAACACCCCAACAGCTAACAAAGCCTGCTGAGTGCAGAGCTCTACACCCAACTGAATCACTCCAACTTAACTCTGCCCTTGTTAGGCATTTACACACACATATACTTTCACTGCGTGCTCCTCATTTACTGAGATGTTAGCTCTGGGCAATGACAAACGACCTTCAGGCAAATCTATGTTGAGGCTTATAAAAGAATGCCACAACCATAACATTTAGAATGAGGAGTAAAGCAATCGTGAAAAAAAAGACATAACTAGGGCAAGCAGCTCATACCAAGCCACTCACCTTCCTGCAACCAGTCATGTGACCTATGCCAAGGCAAAGGTAATGTGATATCCGCTACTATAGGAGAATCTTAGCGCAACAAAAGACAAAGAGTGCTCAGGGAAAGTCACTCTGACCAGCAGTGAGATTTTAAGTGTAGGTCCCTTTTAAGCATGGACAAAGAATTGGTCCCTTTTAAGTGCGGAGGAGGAATTCATAAAAATAAGCCCATCGGTAGATTTCATTTTTCCGACAGATCTTATTATCAGTCACACTATGGCATCGCAGGAGTTACTTATTTCAAAAACTGGGATAACGTTGAACTAGTGGGTCTACTTAACCACGTTTATTCCACAACATATATAGGGAATTTTTTTTAAATCCGTGCACAAATAATATCAACTATATATAGTACACATGAGCAAAGAAATTCAGACAATCTTCTCCACTCATCACGTTATCATACAAAAATATCCTCTTCTAGTCCCATACATTCAATATTCTTTTGTACCATACTCAGACATTCTCACCTATCCCACTAGATCCAATCCTCCACCATATCACAATCACACTTTGTCTTCTATTCCCCTACATCCAGTCCTACTCTGTATTATACTCAGTCACATTCTCACCTATCACACTAGATCCAGTCCTCTACCATAACCGCATATCCTCTGCTTATTCATATAAATCCAGTTCTACTCTGTATCATACTCAAGACATTCTCATCTATCCTACTAGACCCAGTTCTTCACCATACCATAACCACATATTCTTTAATATTCCTATACAGCCAGTCTTCCTCTGTACCATACTCAACATTCCCACCGGATCCAGTCCACCACCACACCATAACCACACATCCTCTGCTATTCCTATAAATTCAGATCACCTTGGTACCATATTCAGACATTCTCTTCCGATATCTCTATACATTCAGTCTTTCACTATGCTATAACCAAACACTGCTGATCCTATACATCAAGTCACGTACTATAACAAAACAGGCAACCCCTGAAATTATTTTACTACACAGCAAGTTCCTTAATGTAGCCAGATATCAACTACTATTTCTATACTATAAGACTGCAGTTATACCGTAACGAACTATCCCCTGCTAGACTTACACATTCAGTCCTCCCCTATACCATAACTAACCATTCCCTGCTAATCCTATACATCCAGTCCTCCCCTATACCATAACTAACCCTTCCCTGCTATTACTATACATCCAGTTCTCCCCTAGACCATAACTACCAATACCCTGCTAATCCTATACATCCAATCCTCCTCTATACCATAACTACCCATTCCCTGAAATTCCTATTTATCCAGTCTTCCCCTTCCCCTTTACCATAACTATCTATCCCCTGCTATTCCAATACCAGGGATCCCAACCTGAAAGAAGCAATTTCAGGGAGGTGTCCCTCTCATTTCAGGGAGGTGCCCCCCCCCCAACCGCAGAGGGGGGGTTAGTGGGGGCTGGAAGAGAGCACCCCCCTGAAATGATGGCAGATAGCACAGGAAGCAATAGCTTCTTTGCTATCTGCAGGCTTTTTTTTTTTTAGTATTCTGACAGTTGCAGTCGTCAGAATAATAATAATAATTTAAAAAAAAAGGCATAGGAAAGCTTAGCTAGATTCCTATTGGCTATTTCACTTTGCAATAGCCAATGGCAAACTAGCTATTGCACCCGCCCTCTGCTGCTTTCAATCACCAGAAGAGGACCTGATAGAAAAATTCAGGTCCCCCTCTGCTGATTGACAGCAGCAGTGGGCGAGTGCAATACCTAGTTTGCTATTGGCTATTGCAAAGTGAAATAGCCAATAGGAATCTAGCTACGCATTCGTATGCCTTTTTTTTTCTTTTCTGACTGACGGTCGGGCCGCGGCTCCCGATGTCAGAAAAGAAAAACGATCGCAGGGAAAGGTTTAATCTGCTCGATCGAGCAGATAAAATTTTTCCGTGAGGAAGTGTTTCTCTCCCGGCCGGCCAGGAGCTGCTATCTAATAGCAGGAGACTACTGGAGCGTCCGGGAGAGTTGGGATGTCTGCAATACATTCAGTCCTTCTCTATACCATAGCTACCATTTCCTTGCTATTCTTATACATCCAGTCCTCCCCTATACTATAACCGGCCATTCCCTGCTATTCCTATACATCCAGTCCTCCTCCATACCCTAACTACCAACCCCCTGTTAATTCTATATATTGAATCCTCGCCTATACCATAACTCCCCATCCCCTGCTATTCCTATACATCCAGTCCTCCCCTATACCATAACTCCCCATCCCCTGCTATTCCTATACATCCAGTCCTCTCCTATACCATAACTACATATCCTCTGCTATTCCTATAAACCCAGTCCTCCACTATACCACAACTAGCCATTCCTATACATCCAGTCCTCCCTTATACCATAACTACCCATCCCCTGCTATTCCTATACATCCAATCCTCCCCTATACCATAACCAACCATTCCTTCCTATTCCTATACATCCAGTCCTCCCCTATACCATAACCACTCACCCCTTGCTATTCCTATACATCTAGTCCTCCACTATACCATAACTACCCATCCCCTGCTATTCCTATACATCCAGTCCTCCCCTATACCATAACCAGCCATTCCTTGCTATTCCTATACATCCAGTCCTCCCCTATACCATAACCAGTCACCCCTTGCTATTCCTATACATCCAGTCCTCCACTATACCACAACTAGCCATTCCTATACATCCAGTCCTCCCCTATACCATAACCAGCCCATCCTTCCTATACATCCAGTCCTCCCCTATACCATAACTACCCATCCCCTGCTATTCTTATACATCCAGTCCTCCCCTATACCATAACTACCCACCCCCTGCTATTCTTATACATCCAGTCCTCCCCTAAACCATAACTACCCACCCCCTGATATTCTTATACATCCAGTCCTCCCCTATACCATAACTACCCATCCCCTGCTATTCTTATACACCCAGTCCTCCCCTATACCATAACTACCCATCCCCTGTTATTCTTATACATCCAGTCCTCCCCTATACCATAACTACCCATCCCCTGCTATTCTTATACATCCAGTCCTCCCCTATACCATAACCAGTCATCCCTTGCTATTCTTGTACATCCAGTTCTCCCTTATACCATAACTACCCATCCCCTGCTATTCCTATACATCCAGTCCTCCCCTATACCATAACTAACCATTCCCGGCTATTCTTATACATCCAGTCCTCCCCTATACCATAACCACTCACCCCTTGCTATTCCTATACATCTAGTCCTCCACTATACCATAACTACCCATCCCCTGCTATTCTTATACATCCAGTCCTCCCCTATACCATAACTACCCATCCCCTGCTATTCTTATACATCCAGTCCTCCCCTATACCATAACCAGTCATCCCTTGCTATTCTTGTACATCCAGTCCTCCCCTATACCATAACTACCCATCCCCTGCTATTCCTATACATCCAGTCCTCCCCTATACCATAACTAACCATTCCCGGCTATTCTTATACATCCAGTCCTCCCCTATACCATAACCACTCACCCCTTGCTATTCCTATACATCTAGTCCTCCACTATACCATAACTACCCATCCCCTGCTATTCTTATACATCCAGTCCTCCCCTATACCATAACTACCCATCCCCTGCTATTCTTATACATCCAGTCCTCTCCTATACCATAACTACCCATCCCCTGCTATTCTTATACATCCAGTCCTCCCCTATACCATAACCAGTCATCCCCTGCTATTCTTATACATCCAGTCCTCCCCTATACCATAACTACCCATCCCCTGCTATTCTTATACATCCAGTTTTCCCCTATACCATAACCAGTAATCCTGTGCCATCTCTATATATGCATATATGAGCAGTGCAGCAGAATGATGACATCCTGATCCCATCCCTCCGCTCCCCCCCAGGAGCAGCACAACCCCCATCCCCCGGCTCTTACCCTGTGTCTGCAGTGCAGGGGCTCGGTGACATGTAGAAAGGAGTCAGTGACATGAAGCAGGCCCGGCCAGTTCTCTGTAATCCTCAGCCATTGTTCCTGTGCAATACTCCCCCTCCTGCCTGCTGTCCATCCCTCCTCCTGCCCGGGTGCTCTATGCCCTCCTCTTCCTGCCCCCCTCCCCGTGTAAGGAACACTCCCCGGATCTCCGACTGCTGTCATCATCTGTTATTGTACAGCACACACGCCAATCCTCTGTAGGGGGTATGTGCACAGGAAGAGATCATCTGCAGGGTGATATACGCACAGGACACACAGATCATCTGCAAGGTGATATACGCACAGGACACACAGATCTTCTGCAGGGTGAGATATACACACACAGATCATCTGCAGGGTGATATACACACACACGGGACAGACACAGATCATCTTCAGGGTGATATACACATAGGACACACACAGATAATCTTCAGGTTGATATACACACAGGACACACACACAGATCACCTGCAGGGTGATATATACACACAGCAGGACACACACAGATTATCTGCTGGTTGATATACATACAGGGGACACACAGATCATCTTCAGGGGGATATACACACAGGACACACACAGTCACAGATCATCTGCAGTGTGATATATACACACAGGACACACACAGATGATCTGCAGGGTGATATATACACACAGGACACACACAAATAATCTGAAGGGTGATATACACACAGGACACACAGATCATCTGCAGGGTGATATATACACACAGATCATCTGCAGGTTGATATACACACAAGACACACAGATCATATGCAGGGTGATATATACACACAGGACACACACAGATCATCTGCAGGGTGATATATACACACAGGACACACACAGATCATCTGCAGGGTGATATATACACACAGGACACACACAGATCATCTGCAGGGTGATATATACACACAGGACACACACAGATCATCTGCAGGGTAATATACACAGAGGACACACACAGATCACCTGCAGGGTGATGTGCACACAGAGCACACAGACCACCTACAGGGTGATATATACACAGGACACCCAGATCCTATGCAGGGTAATATTAGAGATGGGAAGGGCTAGGGAAAAATATTTTTTTTCCCCAAAGCCGTTTTTGTTTTTTTCTGAAAAATGGAAATAAAAAAAAAGGAGTGAGGAATATGTTCTTTTACAATGATAAATAATATATCTTTGACATGGTATTCAAACTATATAACATGAAGACCTTAATGAAATACTTCTGAGACTTTATGTAAAGTCTTAAATTATTGCACTTTCTCTCAGCTGAAGACAAGCAAAGCATGGAATACAATTCAAGTAAAACTGTACTTCTCAATGCAGTTCTCAAACTCAAAAAGAAGTATGCATTTCTGCCACTAGGGGCACTGCAGAGGAAAGGCTCCAGTTTAGTTGGCTTGTGAGCACTGTCTTGTACAGTACTTCCTACAGTTTGGGGATTGTTGGTATGATAGTTTCTGTCCTTTCAGGCCTTAATTGACAGGTAAGAGGGTACATTTGTACATCGTTTGTACATAGTTCTCCAAAGCTTCAAAATTTCTGGAAATTTTACATCTTTAGGTGATATACACACAGCTAGAGCTGCAACAGTTAATCGATTTAGTCGATTAAAATCGACGTCGCCGCGACTTACAAGGGTTCAGAAACAGGTAAGGGGGGGGGCGTGTCCTGCTCATGGCGGAGTAAACAGCAACCTCAGTGAGCTCCGTGGGTTTTACTACTTATACGCTACTTATACCGACTTATACCCCACCGGTTTGGACCCCAAACCATGTCCAAACGCAGTAAAGAGGACAAGCCAGCTTCCCAACGGAATACCCCCTCGATGCAAGAATTTTTCACCTCCACACGTAACAGGCCTCGTGGCCGAGACCAATCCATCATGTCCTCCGAGCCCCGTCTCCACGCACGCCACGAGGCAATGCACGTTCCCGATCTCCTGCTCCCCGGGAACCCCGCTCTGGGGC